ATAATTTCCATCGATTTCGATTCGGATACTTTGGACAGATGACGGAGCAATTCTCAAGGTAAGCACACATTTCATTCACAACAAGAGTGTGATTCACTATGAAAACTAGTGGGTGGCGTCATCAGTACATTCGGGTCAATAGTACAACACGGGCGCTTTCGACCGAGGTCGCCGCAGCGGCAAATTTGCTCGCTGTCTGCGGCGTGGAGGAAAACAATTGCCGATGAATCGTTTGGAGGACAGTTTGCTTTCAGATATTGCCCTTCTGCCGCTCCGTCGTTGATCTCACAACCATGCTACAATCCTCCCCAATTTCATTACGCCCAAGTGTGTCACCCGAGTTACAGCATCAGAGACGACGAGCACAGAGTTCAACAAATTTGTGAGTGACAGACGTGTTTTCAAATTTTACTCAGAAATCAAGACTTAAGCGGTATTCCAAAGGGTTGATCGGATAGGGTTACAATTTTTACCCTCAATCTGCAACTTGGCTAAGAATTTCTGCCAAGTAGAGTATTTTTTATAACAAAAAAAAAACATGAAGCAAAAATAACTTCGAGGCTAGTTTTTCGAGGCTCCTGTGCTTAACATTGCAACTAGGAACTTACACAAATCTTTAGCGGAACGCACTCATCGTTTATCAGCTGTCCGGCGGGGATCTCTGACGTGTCCCATGTGGTCTAGTGGTTAGGATTCGTGGTTTTCACCCACGCGGCCCGGGTTCGATTCCCGGCATGGGAAGATGTTTTGCATTTCACGTAAACACTAGAAATGCCATTGGAAAAACCACCCCACTGTTCGTTCATACTAGAGATAGATGTTTTACAAATAACGCAGGTCTTTATGAAAAAATATGGAGCTCTGAGAGTCCATTGAGGGAGTTGGCGCATGATCGATTGTTGCGCAAATTAGTTCGTACTAATGCTTTGCGCCCGTTTCTTAGAACTTATTTACTAGAACATCGCTATGAAAAGATTCAAGAAAACTAAACAAATTCAATCAAAAAAAGGCCCCAAAACCCTTCCTCATTGGCCAACGGATGCCTCAAAAACATAATCATATTTTAAAAAAATGTCCTAATTATTCCTAGAACAAGTCACAGTGAAACATACCGTACTCTATCTTTGTTGATCATTTAGTCTACAGAACGTTCTTTTTTTTGAAATGACTTGGCAGATATGGATGGGCTTAAGCAGTCTAAAGAGAATAGCCTAGAGAGAGAAAGAATTATCAGCGTAGCATAGCTTTAGCAGATAGCTAAAGGGCTACGCTGATAATTAGATAGGGTAATAAGGTCACCAACAGACAAAAAGACCGCAGGTGCAACAACGTACCAAGGTCAACTGTGCGTTGCACAGTTCTTTTCACACGAAAGGGCATAGTTTTGATTGCTGCTAACCGCCTCCCTCAGGCTCTATGGCCTTTTTAGAGATGGAAGTAGGTTAGGAACCACTCCTGCGGCACGATTTAATGCGTTTAGTGGCTTGTTGACACTTGGAAAGCAGAAATTAAAATATAAGGATTGATAGGCATAGGCTAGTGTAACAATGAAACTGAAGGGAACCTGAAATAAGTAGCAAGACTTGAGCGGTATAAAAAGTGAAAAATATCAAAGCATTGCAACAATCGCAAACACTAGTGATATGGTGAGGTAACTTCTTGCTTCAGTGCAGGGCAGAAGAGAGGGTGCGGACCTGATCTTTGGTGGGCCAGTACAACCCCGTATTCAATAACGGCGAGGGCTTAGCTACAGTGCCATCAGGGACAGCAGGATGACAGTTGGGATGCGATCGTCGTTATGGAGAACGATAGCCTATTCCGCCATCAAAACCGCATACCTAGGAGGGATCAGCGAGGGTGCATGCCGACCGTAAATTTTCTAGTACAAGGTTGATCTTGCTTTTCACTAATGATATGTTTGTACTACCGTACATGGCGTTTTGGAAAAACCTCATGCAATTCCGGTTTGATGCCCCCTTGCCACCTGTGAGATGAAAAACTGCATAAAAAACAGCCGCAAAAGTGACTTCTCCATTGCTTGACAAAAGGTTGACATTCAAAATGTTTCAGGTTACTTGCGAGTATATCCCAAACGTAGTTCGGAACTGTTCGTGGTAAGTGTACAGCAGTAATTACTACTCGACTCAAACCTTCTTACACAATCCGAATCACTTCTTCAGCACAAGGACGTAAATTACAGTACACGTGGGCTCGCGCTCAAATTCACTATACATTTTGTAGCAAATGCGGTACTGGGGCTGCTCGAAATGTGGGGCTAGCATTAAAGGAAGCGATTACGATCAAGAGGGGCGCATCGCGGAAAGTCTACGGACAACTTGAACTCGGACCTTTTTACGCCTCTATTTGATGTTCTCGCCCGCGCTCTATCGGTAACAGCAGCGATTGCTGTGATTTGTTGCGCCAAGCAGTAGTAGCTTGGCTGGTAAGGGAGTGAGTTTTGGCGCTTTCACGACGAAAAGTGCACTGGTTGCTACACAAAACTCGAAAACACCTAGCCCCAAAAGCGACAATTTGGTTGCCCACCCAACAGTTTATGTTGGTTTGGATGAGCCTCAAGGACGAACTGTTGTGAGGGAAAAGTGGAGGTTCTAGAGTGAGAAAAGTTTTCGCAACCTCCAAAGAATCAAGAACATTCGAAAGTTTTTTTCCTAGATTTGAGCCTAGACTCAACTATCCGTTGTGCCAACATCAGCGTTTTTGCGACGCCCTCGAATAGTACGCCCTCGATAGTCTCCATGCGATCCCATCGAGTGGTCGATGGTGTCGTCAGTGCCGTTGAAACTGACAACAATTCAATCACTTCAACCCTGCTGGAGGGAGGGGCGGTCAATAGCCATTGTAATATTTTTACTGAATTAGCAAATTCTCACATCGCCCATTCGGCATATCACCGTGATTTCCCCTAAAACTACAAATACAATCTCCCCATCCGAAATCACAACCCGATCCCTACATTAGACCTGATACAGCGGATTGATGACCCTGTTCGAGCTCTGCGTCTCCAGACGCTTACAAAAAGTACACCTCGTTGCAGATGACCTGTTGACCATTCCTAGTAAGTTTCATTGGAGATGAAACAAGTTTTCAGGCTGAGTACCTGAGTCTTGAACGCGCGTTCGCCTACCCAGTGTCATTTGCGGATTGGGTCCTGCCATCAAGCTATCCATACTACTCAGTCGTCTTCCTGCGTACTCGAATGGACGGTTAGTTCTCAAAATACTCATTTCGCCCACCTTTTACGTATTTTCAATTGACAGATTCAACCTGTTGTGAATCGCTTAACAATGTCTGTGTGACGACGATCGGTGGAAAGCGACGACGTTGTCATGGTCCGGCATCTTTTATCCGTGAGTATTCTACACAGGGATCCATCTGCTATCCTCATCAGCAATCACTTTCCAGACCATTCTGTACAAGACATAATGGGACGGTCGACGGACGACGGTTGCAGCTCGGCCTGTCCAACCTGCTGTCATGACCGTTCTAAGGTAAGATAAATGGAAGGCATAAACGAGTACGATAATCGGGCTGGTGCATTACTATCGGTTCTTGGCCGGGTTAACTGCTTACGACTCGAAATCGGTAACAATATGTGCAAAAATTCCTTACAATTAGTCATAGACAAACATCAATTACAACAGGAACTTATGGATACGCCAACTTCGGTGGATGGCTTTTCATTCGCTGCACGCAGCAATCAACCAATAGAATTTCCCGGGGAGGATCCTTTAACTCCTCTGTTGGGTCACCATCAACCGTAAAGGGCCTACCAGGGCGTTATAGGGGTCCCCGCGTGGATTTCGCTCGTCTAGATCTCACGAACAGTTCATGCGTTGCTCTTCCACTTACAGCATTGTCTCTCAAAACACTACATGTCTTTTCTGTGACAATCTTTTTTGTGACAGTAAAAAGCCCATTCCCTCATTTCATTGTTTAACCTATGATATGTATGAAATATTATACACCGTTGGTTTTCCCTACCATTCCAAAAGAACACGATTCCAGAAAGATTGATGCAAATTTCAAAGAAATAAATTCGCAGGATAGTGCTCCTTCAAAAAAATACAACATGGGTTACTTTATACAGGGTGTTCCATAAATACTGCAACACTTTTCTTATCTTGTAACTTCTCTCAAAGTGGACGTATCTTCAAGTGGTCACACACTATTCTTAGTCCGTCCTTAAGATGTTGAAAGGAATGACATTTATTCGATAAGTCTCCCTGACGCTGTGAGTATGGCTTCCAGTTGCTCCAAACGCAACTCTGGTGTTTCCCGCAGGGCATACTGGAGTTCCTTCTTCGAAACTTTCTAGAGAAAAGGCTTCAGCTCCTCTGTTTGGATGCATTGTTTAGTGCAGGCCCTGTCCCCTAATATAGCCCAAATAGGATGGTCCAGCAGGTTGAAATCGAGAGATATGAGAGCCATTTGTTTGAGGATGTGAAATCGGGAACAGTATCATGAGATCAGTCCTAAACAATTTTTGCCCCTTATGCAGAAGCTGGTTACCTTTGAAAAGAATGTCATTCCTCCTTGGAGAAGCTAGATACCTTAGTAACGAATGGTGCACTGGAGCATTCGTTAGCTAGGTCTGTATCGAGTTTCATTCGCTTTTCAACAGACAGTTGTGGTGAGAGACCGGTGATTGAGACCCTTGCCCAAATCGTGATAAAGATTGGCTGCTGCTTGTGGCGAATATTCCTTTCACTCTCACTGGCTTCCACAGACCTCATGCGGGCATCCTCGAAGTTTGAAGATTGTAGCTCGCTCCATGTGAGGAATTTTGTCGTCGATGAAAACGGTGCCCGCGTAATCGCCATTTTCGGCCCTCGACACCAGCTCTTTGAACTTTTTGTCTCTGCTGTGCTCCTCCCGTTGGATTGAGCAGTGGTGCTTATGCAACTTATAATGGACTGTGAGCAGTTGTTATCTGACCACTCTCTACATGGCTGTGTTTAGAAACTCCAGCGTTCTGGTCACCTTTCTCGAGCCAACCCGGGTATTGCAGTCGTTTCGCTTCTTCATGCTTTTCCTGAGATCCAAGATGTCAGAACTTGTGGGGCGGCCGCAACAAAGACTACTTCCATTGGTCTTCTCTTAGTACACGGTAGGCCGCGGAGCGGTTGAAAATCCAAAGAAGCGCGATGTTCATCACCGGATGTCCGACCTAGCTGTATGAGGGATTAGGACCTCTTTTGAGGTTTAGGTGCACCATGAGATGTACAACGAATGGTAAGCCGTGCACTTGGCAAGGTTATTCACAAGAGGTCATAGGAAGTGAAGGTATGCCAACCTTGGGAAAAGGACTACAGACACCCACACAATAGAAGCTCAAAATGTGTTGCAGTATTTATGGAACACCCTGTATTAGTTTATCATGAAGCTTTTATTACAAGCAATGCCTTCGACATTGCTTGCAAATCCGATTGATAGTAATTCATAATAATAGATGACAGCTGACAAATGACAACTGTAATTACTAATAATAGATAGAATAGAAGTGCAACCGACTAAATATTTCGTTGGCTGTCGTCTATTGTCTTGCAAAGTCTGCATTGGTAATGCACCTGGCCGCCTAACACATGGGGTAATGCCAGAACTTCCAAACCACCCAAATTATGGTACGAATGAGCTCTCGTCGCGTGAGTCGAATATAATAATGAGTTCTCACTTGGGTCAACAGTCCTCTGTGGGGATCGCATGCCTGGCGTTATCAAGCTCCATTAAATAACAGGGCAGTTGCTCATGCCGATTTACCACTTCGAACCCGTAAGCTTCCCTTTTGCTCACTTTGAAATCTTATTGTATCCTATGCTTTTTTTCTATTTCGTATACTTTTAGCAACCATGTGGATCCCATGCTCCTTCTCAACTTCTCCTTAACACCGAGTCGATACGAATAAGCGAGGGTAATAAGCTTACAAACATCTTTTGACCATGTTTTCTCAACACGGCTTGCAGAGTTTCGAAAAAGGCTGATGTTTCAGCTTACCCAGATGCGCGCTGCACATCTCTTTCCGAATCCTTGACGTTGGAGAATGACGTTTATGAAAGTGACAGCGAAGAGGATTCGGAGAAACCTCGTCGTAAGCCGTACACAGCCGAACCGTCATCGTCATCAAACGAAAGCAGCAGCTCATCTGACGATAGTTCAAAAGACAGCACCTACTCTCACATCCACTGGGTTACCTCTAGTGGAAAATCGGTAGGGAAATGACGGCTTATTCTAGGAGAACATTCGCTAGTATAATTCATGCAGAGTGGCCCGATCAACGTCAGTGATGCTGAATGTGCTGCGCTTCACGAGCTGCAGGATCTGGAGAGCTTTTTCGGAATCAGAAACACTCCAATCGATAACAAGGCCACTTCTGAATGGTTTGTCAAGTTGTCTTCACATACCTGCGCTTATCTCTACAAAATATGCTAAATACATTGGTCTAGATGATCGTGCCAAAGCTCAACTGAGGTTACGGTAGGGAACGATGTCTAGAACTAATGTTGAACTGATACGGTTTTGAGATGGTTTCAATAGCTTCACTGTCGTTTTCAAAGAAAGAAGGGGTGTTTCCAATCCCGCTCAATCTTTTGAAGCGAATCCCTTCTATATTACTGAGTATGTTAA